TCAGGAAATTCGTGTTGCCTGCAGTTCTCTAGTATACTAAAACTGTATAGCATTATTAACTTCAAGTATCACTTCATACATTTTTCTGATTTAACTGATTTATCAATTCTTTTGCCTCTTTGCCTTCTCCAGGCTACTATTCTTGTGTTTTCACTATGGACTGTAGTTAGTATATGGACAGTTCATGACACAGGAAGAATACATTTTTTTTCCAACATCTAGGCATTCTGCTTTTAATTCCTCTGGAAAGTCTTTCTTGTTTGGATGGATAGCTCCATTTGCTAGGATACCTTGTTCATGAAGATATCTGAACAAAACAAATTAGTGGACTATTAATCAGTGTATAGGTTGTAGTCTTTGTTCAGAAGTAGAGAAATGAAGTCAACAACTCCTGCCTCTTATAAATAAAATTATCTAATTACCAATGGGTCAATTGTGGTTTTTACCAGTGTAGAGACAGAATATTTGTATACCCCCCCCCCCAAGTAGGTAACTTATGTTGTCTAACAAGTTATTTCATTCACTTGAGCTTTCCTGTTCAGATTCACTACTGTTATAGCTCTCATTTTCATCAAAGTCAACATGGTCACTTTTTCACAGTCTTCTTCACTCAAATCAGACTCCAAACATTAATCTTCACTATCAGAATCATTCTATATTTGATTAATAATATCAACAATCCAAAATTGGCCATAAATATAATTTGTTTTTGGTAAATTGTAGTTGTATTTATCTCCCAATAGAGCAGAAAGAAACCAAAGTTATATAGAAATATAGTCTTTAACAGATTGTTTAGGCACAGTATTCATGATGAATACACTGGAATGGTGAGCAACTGCCTGTTGTAGAAAAAACACAAGTGTAGAGGACGAAACTTCAAAAGTCTTTTGTCTTCAGCATACTCATCAACTTAAACGTCATCTATTCTCATCTTTAATAATTTTGCAATCTATTAACCCTATAACAACAATGAAATTAGCACTAAAATTTACATTATAGTTCAAAGTTTTATATTATCTAAGTTTTAATTCCTTTATTTCAAAAGAAAAATTCTTAAACTTTAGTTTGACACACAATTTCACAAAGTTTTATATTTTATAAGTTGAAAATGAGTTGAATATACTAAACATTCTATTTATAGAAAGAAGCTAGGTTAATTGCACTGTTTACACATTCTTCATTCAAGCTTCTTAGGGGACACTGGGAGAAAATATAAACAAATTTCGTGGGACTCTTGACAGATGCCAAACCCACTTTCAAAACATAAGAGCTGCAATTTCTCAACCAATTATACTTAGTTGAGGTAGATGTTTGTAACCAATAGAAGGACCACATTTCGAAATACTACTTCCCAACAGTTAGTTTAAAATTGGCATGAAGAATCTCATACAGAACTTGTCAAATGCTCTTAGCATCATTTTTGCTTTTCTACTCGCTAACACTTTACAGTTGTTTCTCACCTATAAATATGTTAGTCAGATAGACAGTTAAATTATATTTAGGTTTTAGTTTTACATTTTAGTTAATTATGTGTTAGTTATGTTTTAAAATGCATATCAGAAAGGTTTAATAATATTTTAAAATATAAGCCAAACTGTATTGGTTTATCAGACTTAAGAGTAGTAGGCAAATGTCCCAACATTCTGATGATGGCTAAAGTGTCACTGCCGAAGATGCCCTGTGAACACCCATTGACATGTGTTGCAATAATTGATAATGCTAAAGGATAGGAAAATAAAATAAAACACAAAAATAAACTATTTGTGAAAAAGTAAATACTTACAATTAGGAATATAACAGAAAATTAAAAGGTATGTGTACATTTTTTCAGTTTTTAATTTTAAACATTTCATTGCACAATACGTTGATAATAATACTTGAAATATTCAGAGTCTGAGTGCAAATAACTAAAATACAAAAGTATCAAATCTTTAAAATGCAAAATTAAAATAATCTCCTTTGTGTACAAAATACTTGTAATCTTTAACAAAATCTTACCAATTGTTGTGAAGAAAGCTCAGAGTTACCTTAAATATTGTTGCACTGTGTATCATTCTCCATATGAGCTATTCTTATTGGATTATGCCCCGTCTCCATGGGGTTAATTGTATTCTCAAGGTTTTTGGTTCCATTCTATCCTTTTCGAAATGGATGAATGCTGTACATAATTGTAGCAAAAGACTAACAGAAAAAGAGATGTATGAAAACTGATAAGTCATCAATGCTTTTCATTCATCTGCATTCACTAAAACTAATTAAATCAATAATCTGGAAAATATGCTGTAAAAAAGTCTAAAACTGACATTCATGTTGTGATGCCACATGTAGTAGTGTATTAGCCCTATGACTACCAGTGCACTTTTTAAATTACTTTCTGCACATGTCACAAAGTGTTACTGAGTTACATTCAAAATTTAATTAAAGCACTTTATTAACAATGTAGTTTAATGAACATAACATTATCAAGTACATTATTATTCAAAGTTTTATATTATCTAAGTTATTCCTTTATTTCGAAAGAAACCTCTGAAACAAACAATTAAAGCTTCAGTTTCTCGTGATATGATGTACATGTAGATGAAATATCTTAGATTTGGTTGCATATGTTTGTTTTTAGGTTTGTCTCAGTACCTCTATGACAGTCTAGACCGGCATCTATTAGATCTAGGTCAAAGTCTAAACATTAGTGTCATTTTACAAAGTTGTCCTTCCAAGAATTAGCTTCTTACTTGCTCTTTTTCTGATAGATGGCACACCTATATCCTAAAGTAATCTGTTTTAAGCAACAGTCTTTTCTTGACTTGAATGACATGCTTATAACCAAGAGAAAGAACAGTCTTCTTATTTAATTTCTCAAAGCTAGAAGGAACCGTAAGCCATAAATTACTTTTTGAAACAAAAGCTAACTACTGCTTGTCCAATGTCGAGATCAGTGTCCTTAATGCTTGACTATTTTTTCTCACCTTATACATATTAGTTTGCTTTCTTTTTGCATTTCGCACAAAGCCACACGAGGGCTATCTGCACTAGCCGTCCCTAATTTAGCAGTATAAGACTAGAGGGAAGGTAGCTAGTCATCACCACCCACCGCCAACTCTTGGGCTACTCTTTTACTAACGAATAGTGGGATTGACCGTCACATTATAACGCCCCCACGACTGAAAGGGCAAGCATGTTTTGGTGTGACGGGGATTCGGACCCGCGACCTGCCAGTACATATTAGTTTGATAGACAATTAAATTGCATGTATTTTTCATTTTATATTTTTTTGTTAATTATGTACAATTTGTGTTTTAAAATTCGTATTTCAAAAGATTTAATGATTTTTTTAAAAAGTTTATCTGTTGTTGCTTCACTCATGAATGCTTTAGGAAAATAAGCGGGTGCGAGTAATTTTGCCTGCAGTTAACGTGTCTCTGTCGATCATAACATTATAATTTCCCAAAGGCATCAGTTGACACTTCAACATAAATAAAATAAAAGCTCAAAAAATCAAAAGAAAAATAAAACTTTAAAAATAAACTAAAAGTGAAATGGTAAAACCACGAAATTATGCATATATCCCAAAGTAGATATTTTAAGACAATTCAATGAAGAGATTAATAATATGTATATATATTTAAAGTTCTTAATTTTAAACATTTCAATGCACTGTACACACTGATGATAATAGCTATAGTTAGTGATATAGTAGAGAAAATTGAAATAAATTATAAAGGTTTACTTTTAAAAAACTTTTGATATTCAGTTAAGAGGTTCTAGAGATTATGCAAATGAAATGTGAAACTGTAAGATAATAAATATTTTTACACTCAAAATAAAAATCACCTTGCAGGTGAACTATTCAGAGTCTGAATGCAAATAACTACATTAATCAAAAATCAAAATTAAATATTTTTCTGATACTACATAATTTTGGGAAGGTTCTTGTCAACTTTCAAATAATTTCACCCACTAGTTTTATTTTTGGGATGAAATATAATGATAGCAACATTAGGTCATATGGATTGTATGACAGTATTCACAGGGTTAGTGTAGTTAATTGTGACATAATATCTAAACAGAAAAAAATAACCATAATTTAGCATGTTGGTGTACAGACAAGACCTAGCCATATGACAGCAATGTGCATATGTCTAACATAAATGAGACAATATAAACATTCAGTGTTCTTAAAGAATAACATAACAATTATAATGAAGCATGCTATCTTTCTTTCATTTTTTGGGGGTTGATTTCTATTTCAATTATTCAATGTCACAACTTTTTCTTTTCATTCTTGCAACCCAAAGTCATTTATTCATTTTTATCATCTACTTCCTTCTGCTTGAAATAAGATTGAATTGTACCATCCACAACAGTGAATAGGGATACAATGTCATATGTTACTTTAATTCTCATGATAACTACACTTCAAAGAACCTAAGAAAATATTATTTTTCATTATTATATTACCAGTTATAGGTAAAACAAATATGTAAAAGTTAGATCAACAGTACTTTTGCAAAGGTTTCATTATAATCTATACAATTTTTCTTGAATCAATATTGATATTACCACAAAAAAATATCCATATGTTTACCTCATAATATTCATATTCATCCACATCAAAATCTTCAAAATTAAAAAACCCATTTGATAGAGCCTGTAGAGAAAAACAAAAATTTCAAGTCAACTTCTCTTCAATTACATCAGATTTCTTACAAAAGTAACATTTTAGCATGTCCAGAAACATGGATGTCATTATCTGTAAATCCACAGCAAACCTCTGTATGCTTTAAAAAGCTAAATAACAGGTGTATTTTAGGCTATACAATAATCAAAACTGCATATTCAGATGTGTGAATGTCCTATGACCAGACACTAAAACAAGTAATATTCTAATCCAGTAAAAAAATAAGCTTAACATGTACCATGTAAAATAGTAATAGTACAAGTATGGTTTCACAACTGCATTATAACACTAATAATTAAACCAAAATCTCAGTTTGTTTCTTCCTACATTTTACACATACCACAAAATACTTGCAAACTCTTTAAAGGTATATTTATACCTTTAACAAAAGCTTTTTATATTTTAAAGTATACAAAATTTCAAATGCAGACAATAAAATTTGGATTACCAATATTCAAAACAAGTTTGATGGGTTAAGATAATACATAATATATTTTTTAATTATTATCTGTATAGAATACTGTATTATTCTAATGATAAGCAGCCTTTTAATCAACAAGTGTATTCAATCTTATTTTTCACTCTAACTTTGCACATTTTAGGCCATTAATAGTGCAAAAACAGTAGCATAATACTGTCAGGGTAAATCCATAATTGGTTTGGTTTGTTATGAAGTTTGTGCAAAGCTACATAAGGGCCATCTGTCCCTAATTTAGCAATGAAAGAATAGAGGGAAGAAAGTTAGTCATCACCACCCACCGCCAATTCTTTCACCAAAGAATAGTGGTACTGACCATCACATTATAACATCCCCATGGATAAAAAGGTGACCATGTTTGGTGGGATGGGGATCGAACATGCAACCCGCAGATTGCAAGTCAAGTGCTCTAACCACCTGACCATGCGGGTATAATCCATAATTAACAATATGAATATTCATTTTTGATAAAAAACTGATTATGTGTTAAGTAGAGTAGACTTTAACCAATGATATTCAGTATACATGAATTGTATACAAGAACTAAAACAGAGCAGTACACAAAAAACATGTGACACTTATTTTATTATCTAGATAAATAAAAAAAAACATTTTTAGCATGCTGAAAGAAAGCTTAATTAGTTACTTAAGCCAATTAGTTTAACTCTCTCAGTACAAGGTCAGTCAGGTCAACCAGCCTCAATCATTTTGTACTCATTATAGTTTCCATAAATAACTTTTAATACGCTTTGTGTATTTCCACCAAATATGGCAGACTTTTAGTAAACATTGTAAGTCTTTTGTACACAAAAAAAATCATATTGTTTAATGAAGTATTTTACTAAGGATTTTTCCATGAATATATATAGTATTTATATATATTAGTATGAGTGCTAAGTGAATTCCACAATAAGACTGAAAATACTTTTCTTTGTCTCAAAAATCTATAATTTTATTTGTGTAATCTCTAAAACATCCTAAACAAATTTTAAACTTTTTTTCAGCAAGGCTTTATATTTCATGTTATTTTCTCTACCCTAACTTCATACAAGGTCTGTCAAATTTACCGACCTTGTAACCACCAAAAACAAATCAAAATAAATTTAAATAAACTTTTTTTCTTTCCAGAATGACTTCAAATTGGAATATGAAACTACATTTGTTTACCTAAATAGCTTTAAACTCATAACAGTATACTTCTATTTTGAACCCTAACTACTATTCATGCCATTATAAGTTGTAAATCATTTGGTGAATGTACATTATGCACAAGCTACTCATGAGCATAACTCATGAATTTTTTTATTATATTATTATTTATTTCAACTAATCTAGCCTTAACTAACACAAAAGTTTCTTATTTTTGCATTTTAGTTACTTTTAATATAATAAATAAAGAATACACATGAAAAACAAGAAAAAAGTAGTTAGCTGGGTCTCTCTTTTTTTTTTTTGCTGTCAATGACACTTAACCCTACTTTTTTGTACTAATGGTAGTGCTGCAATAAATAATTATTAATTAAATAATGGATCAAAGAAAACAGATAATAATGTGAAAAAGCAGATGAGGTCTCATACAATTTTTCTGGCTTTCTAACTATGGAACAAAAGCCATTAAAACTTCATGTAAACTCTTCAATGTGCTTCCCATGAGAACTGAAAGCAAAATTACAATCCTCTTTACAGAAAACAACATAATATGATACATTATTTGATAAATGAAAACTTTGGCTTTCTATTGGTTAAAAATAATATAGTATTGAACATCAGAGGGAACTATTGGCAATTTCTGAAAGAGAGGATGTGACAGGTGATCTGTTTGTCTATTTCATGGCTCTGTAACCAAATAAGATTGAAGGCTAGGAATATTATGTTTTGCCTTAGAAATGATACTATTACAATAAGTAATTTACATTAAATTTTGTTCTTCTTGAATGAGTAATAAATAAATTAAAGAAGAGAGTACAATAAGTGATTTTGTTAAATTCCATATTTCTCTGATGGATGGTAAATAAATTTGAGAAGAAAGACCTAGAAGTTAAATGTCACAATTCTCATACTAGGAGAGATTGAGGATTTTTTACATATTTTGTTATAAAATTAAAACTAAAATCTCGTATAATATTAATATTTGATTTATTAATATGTTTTGTACAAATTGATAATAAAGTAGTTTATTACATTTCGAACTTAACCCTGTAAAGGATTGTGATGTGTGACCTTTGACCTATCCATTATGAAAGAGTTAAAAGCAAGTACAAGAGCTCTCAATATTCTACAGAGCATATAGTTTATATAATGACTTTTTATGTACTACTTTCAAGTACATGAGTTAACAGTTGCAAAATGCTATTTCAGTTAATAGCAACAATATAAATCTCTTACCTTACTGATAGCATGGAAACAGTTCAATAAAGTAAGATTGTAAGTAGATGGACCAAACGATGCATCCCTGTGGGTTATAAAATAAAGAAAGTTGTAACAGATTTTGGCAACCTTTTTATTGTTCTATTAAGTTATATCTTATGCTTTCTTGATATCAAATGTCCAAAATAATACAGGCCATCATGGTTGTCTTAGTAATTTAAGAAAAATATTTCTAAAGACATATTTTATGCTGGTAAATGAACTATTCGTTTGTTTTAGATATCCGAGTAAAATTACCTAAAGGGCTATATGCATTAGCCATCCCCAAATTTGAATTTACAGACTAGAGGGAGGGCAGCTAGTCTAAAGCATCGACCAAAAATTGTTCAGCTACTCTGCTAGAACAGTGGGATATGATTAATCATTATGATACACCCACAGTTATGGATTGTGGAGCATAATTTTGGAACAAAACGAGAATGCAAACCATGGATCCTCATATACGCAGTTCAGAATACAAAAAAATACTAGAGGTGATCGGTATCAAAGATTTTGTTGATAATTAATAAGTGGTTTATTAGTTATAAAACTGATTAAACGATTGTGAACAATGTTTGTAATTGATGCATTATCAACATCAAAATTAGGAAATTTTATCCTTCAATTACAGAAACTTCAAAAAAACATTGACAAATAAAAATATTTCTGTGGTTGCAATTAACCCTAGTTTGATGTTAATTACTTCACACTAATTTATAATTAACTTATTTGCATTTCTTTTCTAACTTAAATGATTAAAAAATAATAATGTGAAAACAGGAGAATAGTAAAACTTTAAGCATTTGCATGAATAGCTTTGTTATTACCTTACCTTATGAATGCTTGAATCATAATCCTTTGCACATCAACCAGCAAGAAGGATTGTTCAGTATCAAGGGTTTAAGCAATTAAACTTGAGTACAGGCAGTTTTCAATTAGTTTTTAATGAAGTTTAATCAACAAACCTTATCAATTAAAAATTTGCATGCAATTTGGTGAAGTATCATCAGTTTGAAAAGAGTTAATCCAATCTCCAAAATCTCAAAATTTGGTGACACTCGTTAGTATATATATAATTCACATAAATGTAGCTCATAAAACCAACTGTGATTGAGCATGAGAAAAAAAGATTACAGTGTGTTTTCTATTAACATGTCTAAATAAACTTAGTAAACTAACCTACTAAATAAGTGTTTCTATCTACTACTCACCTAAAATGAAGAAAATGTGGACTTGTCCCTCCGACAAGTGGCTGATAAGCTTCCTCTGGAGTTTTTTTCAAGTAAATTATCTTTAGAAGTAAAAATATAAAAAATAATATGCACCAGTCTCATTCAAAACAATATAATCAGTGCTTTAGTAGAACTCTGTTTACATAACGAGTAAAAATGAATTTGTATTAACATTTTTGCAACAGGGGTCTGATTTTCTATTCGATAGCTCTGTAACCAAACAAGATTGAAGGCTATAAAAATTATGGTTTGCTTGAACAACAAAAATTTTGTAGAGTAATTTACATTTAATTTCGTACTTTTTTTAAGGGGTGGTGGATAAAATATAGATGATGACATTCTAAGAGAAAATATGTTGCATGGATCACACTAGTGGAAATTCAGGATTTTTTTTAATATTGCCTTGTAGAATTTAGAACTTAAAACTTGTAATGCTATTAAAATATGGATTATTAGCTAAGATTTTATGCTATTCTAATTGGCATAACATAAACAAAAAGAAGTTTAATTAAATTTTGAATGCAAGACACTAAAACCTTGCATCATGCACAGTAGAGGATACCCGAGGCGATAGGGTTAATATCACTTTTGGATTTAGTTTATTATAAATATTCAGTAAATAAATGAGAAAGTTTAATTTATATTTCAAGAGTCGAAACATCCAATAAATATTATTTTATCAGAATTTAAGAGGTTTATTTGTCCCAAAAGTTTCACATTTACAGCCTTCTTCTCTTCACTCCCTACTTACATAAAAACTTACCAGTTATGTAAACCAAAACACATAGATTACTTTGGGTAAATTAATTCAACATTTCTATTTTAACATACGATATTAAACAAGTTATATATACGTACACTATCCTACCAAAACTCACAGGACACTAGTAGTTATAAATAAACCATGTCTTTATTCTAAGAAATTAACAGCATATTGGCCCGCCTTTGGCCTTAATGATTGCTTCAATGTGTTGTGGAAGACTGTCTACCAATCTCTGGTAGAAAGCTGGTGATATTGTGCTCCACTCATCCTTTAAACCATTAGTAAGCTCCACTACTGAAGAGGGCCATCTTGGCTTTGCCCTAATTCTGCATTCGAGTTCATCCCAAAGAAGTTTTATCAGGTTGAGGTCGGGGCTCTGTGCTGGCCACTGCAATGTTCCGATGTTATTCTCTTCAAACCACGTGTTCACAATCCTTGCTTTATGACATGCAGCAGTAACATGTTGGAAGGTGTAAGGGCTGGTACAATAAAACTGCAACAATGTAGGACACACAGAATTGTTGAGAACAATGACGTAGGACTCAGCGTTCGTTGATCTGTGCACTGCAACCAGTGGATCTGGTCCATACCACGAGAAGCACCCCCAAACCATGATACCGCCACCTCCAAACTTCACTGTTGGGACAACACAAGTAATAAGAATTCTTTAGGCATCATCCATACCCAATTACGTCCATCAGAATGGAAAAGCATGTAGCATAACTCGTTGTTCCACAGGACCGATTTCCATTATCCACGGTCCAGGTTGTGTGCCTTGCCCCATGCCAATTGACATTGTGAATTTGTTTTTATTATCAATGGCTTGTGAGCTGCAGCTCTTCTGTGAAAATTCATGGCATGCAGCTCTCAATGTGTTGTGGAAACACTTATAGGATTGGCTGTGGCTGCTCACCTCTCCAAACACAGATTCTCTAGGGTCTGAT